AGAAGTCCGTAGGAGCATCACCGACGGTTCATCGGATGATCAACAGAAGTTCGCCGGAAGCTCGTTGGAAGAAGCGATTGACGCACTAGAGCAAGTTGCAGTAAATGTCTTAAGAAATATCGTAGTTAGCACGATGATTGCAGTAAATGTCTTAAGAAATATCGACCCAAATTGGGTCGAATGGATCAACTCATTCGGACCAGAATTCCTGCCAGGCAGTGGCACCGCCCAAGAGATGGTCTCCTAGGAAAGCTGGGCGGTGCAACCGCCCAGGTCAAGCAGTGGCACCGTTTGGGGTCAGTCTCCGAGCGAGACTGGGCGGTACAACCGCTCTAGTCAGGTAGTGGCACCGCTTGGGCTTAGTCTCCGAGCGAGACTGGGCGGTGCAACCGCCCCTGACAAGCGGTGGAACCGCTTGAGCTCGGTCTCCGAGCTTTGCCAAGCGGTGCAACCGCCCTTGTCAAGCGGTGGCATCGCCCAGAGGCTCAGTCTCCGAGCTCTGCCAAGCGGTGCAACCGCCCCTGACAAGTGGTGGCACCGCCCAGAGACTCAGTCTCCAAGCTCTGTCAGGCGGTGCAACCGCTAGACCCCGGAATTCCGGGAGATGACAGTTTTGAGCTCAGAATTCAAACTGGTTTGGGGCCCTATAATGTTAGGATCGGAGCGGCACTAAGAGGGGGGGGTGAATTAGTGCAGCGGATTAAAACGTCGGTTTTGACAAATCTTTCGTACGATAAAAATCGAACTCGGAAGTGCTTAACTTGAAAGCGTATTCGTAAAGTTGTGCAGCAAAGGTAATGAGGAAATAAAGCACGTAAGAAGGTTTGCAGTAATGTAAATAGCAATAATGAAATGCAAACTAGAGATCACGCCGATTTTAAAGTGGTTCGGTCAAATGACCTACATCCACTTGCGAGGCCCTCTTCGATGAGGCTCCCACCTTCCACTAGCAAATCTCTTGAAAGGGAAGGGCAAATACCCCTCTTACAACTTTTTACAAGCGGTTCACTCTCTTACAGATTTTCAGCAAGAAAGAAGGAGGTGAACACTAGCAAAATGAAAATAAGACTTGCTAAGACTTTTCTAAGACCTTTCTCTCAATCAATTGCTTCTCAAAAAGTTGTTATCTCAGTTGAGATTTGAGGGGTATTTATAGGCCTCAGGAGGATTCAAATTTGGGCTCCAAAATTTGAATTCTCTTTGGTTTCCGATGTTGGCGGTGCCACCGCTTGTCAGTGTCTGACACTGACAGTGGACTGGCGGTGCCATCGCCCAGCCAGGCGGTGCCACCGCCTACACTATTTCAGCTCACTGGTTGGGCTCCAAACTTGACCCAAACCAGTCCGAACTCGGGCCCAATTAGCCCCTACTTGGGTTATAGGATTAACACCTAATCTTAACCCTAATTAACGTGCTAACTACGAATTTAAAGACATTTCCTAAGCTATTACAAAGTCCGCAAGTCAAGACTTTTTCCAACGAGCTTCCGGCGAACTTCCGACGGTCTTCCGACGAACTCTCGGAAACCATTCTGCGGACTCCCAGCAAGCTCGTAGACTTCACGATTTGATCTTGGCGAGTTCCAACGAGCTTCTTCAGCAAGCTCCGATCTTTCTCGGTGAGCTCCGCGAACTTCCAACGAACCTTCCGGCGAGCTTCCGAAAAACCCTTCGGCAAGCTCCCTACTCATTCTCGGCTAGTTCCGGCAGCATTCCCGACGAACCTTCGGACTTCCGTCGAACTCTCGAACTCCCAACGAATCCTTCGCGCTTGACTCCGGCACTTTGTTTCGCTTTATGTCTTCATCGTTATCGTAGTTAATCCTGCACACACAAACCAAAACTCTACTCCGATCTAGACAATTATTACAACGCGAATTGACATTCTGTTGCCCGACACGTCATTGGTTGGCGCTTCGTCCGATTCTTCAGCGCATCATCCTCTCTTGCAGCTTGTTGCCCAATCGACGGTTGACCTCCGCAACCCCGATATCCTTGGCACAATTCCGCTCTCCTTGGCTTGATGCCCGACGTCCGAAGCATTCTACCGTCCAATATCCTGACGTGATCTACTCCGGCGCAACGTCAATTCCTCCTGCTTTAATTGTCTCATCTTGATCGAAGCATCCTGCATCACTCAAAACGCAGATTAAATCATAAACACATATCAAGTTGTTTCATCATCAAAATACGAGATTCAACATATAAATACCCCACCCTTTCCTGCATGAAAGGGCACCGAAAGCTTAATCTTACTCTATGATTTTAGAGCTCAAAAGTGTTGTAAAGTCTAGAAGTTCTCCTCCCTATTTTCTTCCAAGTTTTGATCTTTCAAGAGAGGAGAGAAAAGTTTGTAAGGGTTGTCTCCTAAGCCTGTCAAAAGGAGTGAAACTGTAAAAGGGGGGTTGGCCTTCGCCTATTGAAGGAAGGCCTCTAGTGGACGTTGGTGACCTCGTCGGTGGAGAAAGCCAAAAGTGGATGTAGGTCAAGATTAACCGAACCACTCTAAATCTCGATTTACATTTACTTTGAGCATCTTATCTTTACTGCAAACCTCCTCAATAGCTTACTGCCTTCTGCTCATTTACGAACGTGTTTCATAATTAAGTATTTTCCGAATCGGCGTTAAGATGAAAATCGGTTTTATCGTACGAACATTATATTTCAGTTTGCGCTTACATTCTGATTTATATCTTAATTGCAAATTGCCTTCCTTACTTTACTTCAAATACGTTTCCGTAAGCTCTCAAAGTTATTATCTGCACGAAACAACTTTTACGTCAGAATCGGATTTCAACATACGAACGCAGTTTTAATCGTCGAAAGTTTTCCACTGCACTAATTCACACTCCCCCTCTTAGTGCTCTTGATCCTAACATGTTCCACATGTGCTTTCGATATATGCTAATTTTATTGTTCACACTATCCTTTTGTACTCTGGTGTTTATGGGATATTCTGGACCTTTGCCAGAAATGGTAAAGGGATTATGCTTAAAGCCTACGATGCTTTGCCGGCCCCCTCTAGCTTCTCCTATACGTGGGTGGATGAAGCTCCCAAACGTGGGAGACTTCTGTCTGGTGGTCATTCAGAAATGAATGAATCACATTATATCTGTAGTCCCACTACACCTTCTGTATGTTTGATTTGATATCCAAAGCTTTGGTTATATGTTTTATACATGCTTTGGATAAGAATGATATAAATGCAACGTCAAATACGACGTTTGAGCTTTTGTTTCCTATTTGTTCTTTGATATACTCTGAAATGGTTCATATGCCATTGATATTTTGAAATATTTCATATACCATTGATATGTTCCGAAATGTTCCATTTGTCATTGATACGCTCCGAAACATTTTATACGCCATTGATAAGCTTTGAAACATTTCATTTGTTATTGATATGCTCTGAAATGTTTCATTTGCCATTGATATGCTCCAAAATATTCCATACGCCATTGATATGCTCCGAAACATTTCATATGCTATTGGTATGCTCCAATTACTCCATATTCCATTTGTTATGAACCAATTATGTTTTGAATGAAATGACATTTACGAATTTGTATCTAATGAAATGTTATCCTTGAATCACTTGTATTCTGCTTGGCATTGTTATTCTGGATATGTTTTATCACTTGCTGAGCTGTTTTTAGCTCATTTTGTTGTTATCAATCTTTTAGGTCAACTTGTCACTCTCTGATATGTTTGTATTCGGCTGAGACAATAAAGAGCTATTCAAAATTGTGGGCTAAATCTTGTTGGTTGTTATATTAATGTTAAATAAGCATATTTTGTATATAATGAAAATGTTGTCGATGAACCTGAGTGATGTGATATATGATTATAAATTGCACAGGTTTTATGGTTGTGAATTTGACTGAATGTTTCTTAGTGTCCTCAAATGTTAGTTTGGATCCTGGATTGATTTGTGATGAAAAATTTTAATATTATCGATTTAAGAGGGCGTGACACCGTGTAAAAATACCACGTAAGGCCTAGACAACCTAGCACCTGATTGCTCATGTGGATAGGAGTCGAAGAGGTAACTCAAGTCGATCATCAAAATGCCTCTCCTACGAAATATTCATAAGAATATTCCCGAGAGTCTAGGAGTCGAAGAGGTAACTCAAGTCGATCATCAAACTGCCTCTCCTACAAAATATTCATAAGAATATTCCCGAGAGTCCAAGGGGCAACTCGGGATGGTTACGAATTGTCTCCCCTATAAAATATTCACATGAATATTCTCGGAAGTCGATCACAAATCGACTCCCCTACGAAATCTTTATGGGATATTCTATCTCCTCAAGATCAAGTACAAAAATACACCCTCAACTTCAAGTAAATGAGAGATAGAAAACTCATATACACCCTCAACTTCAAGTAAAGGAGAGATAGAAAACTCAGAGTTGGAGAAGTGAACCTCAACATTAACTTAAGCATCAAAAGGACCGATTCGAGAGTCTTCTCTTGATTTCGTCTTTGTGCAAGTAATAACTTGAGAAAAGATGTTTTCCACTTCAGACACTCCATACATACGAAGCTACGTAAAAGATATTTTCCCCCAACAAATACGAAACTCATCCATTCATTTCACAAATAATAGGACTTCCCTATAAACAAACGTCGGAGGGGGGAACGAGGACAACTTTGGTCAAGGAAAACTGTGATTAATGCGATAGTCTTAAAAAAAAAGTACACGAATATATCCGAAACAAAATCGACATGACCGCAGATTGATTAGCATTGCAGGGACTTTTCTCTCGATCAACTCCATAAGTTGATGATAACTAAGCGCCTCACCATCAGCTCTAATCCATCGCATGATACGCATTGAAACACAAGCAAACTTTTCATTTCCATGCTCGCTCGATTCGTCAGTAAGACCAACCATCATTAAAGAATCTGCTAAGATAGCAAACTGATGCACCTATGGTTTTAATACTAAACCAATATCCAGAGCACCCACAACTAACGAACAGAATATTATACAGGAAGTGAGAGGCAAAAGACTTGATTTATATTGAATCTCATTATATTTGACCTGATCTCAAGGTCATACTTGCATCCATGAGCTAGTTGATTTCACATCACTTGTAGTAAAAAATATTCGCCACCTTGATTGACAATCAGCAGATAACTCAATTTCTTAGTTTATAGTGCATGCTTAAGTTTGTATATGACACAACATAGCATAGGATAGTGAACAGGCCTTTCTTTTCATGGAAACATTCCTTCAAGGAACTCCTCAAAATCTTCAACAGCGTCCGTCTCTTTAGTCACTGAAGCTGAAGTCCTTCGACCTGCCCAAATTTTCCATTAATGTTAAACTGATGAATGCTTGACAAGATTTGGTCCTCCTATAAGTAATAATTACAGTAAGTTGCAAAAAATCCAAGATCACAAGTATGTAATAATGATAAACCTATTGAATGAGTAATATTATGGTTTCTTAAAAGGAACTAATGGTTGCCTGCAAAAACTCAAACAAGTGGATACATTATTGTCTATAGAAGTAATCAATTAAATTAACAAGTATGTTATTAATCTTTCCTAATATATATTCTTCCCTGACAATTTTTAGTTCCAACAGAATTATACATAATGCCATTGTTTCTGGTACATGGCCAAGATATAACATAAAATTTAACTTTCCACCGCATTATGATATGACTAAAAAAATAAAGAGATGATATTAGATGGTCAGGCAAGCATATTGAAATTGGTTACACAAAATCTAGCCTCAAGATAGATACACAAATGAATATAAGGCCAAACCTTTTTTTATTGTATTTGAGTTCTTGTCATATTCATCATCAATGTCATTGTCCTTATCTTTTTCTCTGAGAAAAAAGTTAGTGTCACACTAGAAAAAGCTAAGAATCCATGATACATTTAGTTCCTTTCTAAGGACAAAAATTCATTAAAAAATAAATTCAGCTCATGCCTCTTCCTTTTGCTTGTATCCCTGTCATTATCTTTCAGGCGCTCCCTCTCTTTCTGCCTTCTATAGGCAAGTTTCTCTGCACAACTTTCAAAATGAAAACCATCAACAAGTTTCAGCTCATTCCCATAAAAACATTACTCCAAGCTCGTAAGAGTTTCAATTCATAAACTTATTAAATATCTCATTATAACTAAATTGATGAGTTGAGATAGAATGTAACAGCTTATTCATTATGGAGGAAATAGTGGAGTATTATTTTTTATTAAAAGCATTTGTGTTAAAGTGGAGGGACATCAAGAGTTCTGTATTATCACCAAAAAAAATTTGATAAGACAACAGTGATTTCAATAGGCGCTCAAGCGCTCGCCTCGCCTCGCCCGAGCGCCTCGCTTTATTTCTAGGTGGCACGCTTCAAAGAGGCGCCGCCTGGGCGCTCGCCCGAGCCTAAGTGCCGGGCGCTTCGGGCGAGCGCCTGGGTTAAACCAGGCGACCGAACCAACGTTTTAGGTCTAGTTCAGTCTCCGGTGCTTTAGTTGGTTCAATCGAACCAACTAAAGCATCGATATCAGCGCAACTTCCCCAACCCTAACCTTGCTCGCCGTTCACGCTACTGCTGCCGCTGCTTTCTACCACTGCTGTTGTCGCCACTCTCGCTCCCGCTCCCGCTGTTCGCTGCTACCACTGTCGATGCCACTGTCGTCGCTCGCTGCTCCCGCTGCTTGCTGCTATCGTTGCCAATGTCTCTGCTCGCCGCTCCCGCTGCTCACTACTGCCGTTGCCACTATCGTCGCTTATCGCTCCCGCTGTCACTGCTGCTACTTGTTGCTACCGCTGCCACTATCTTCGCTCGCCACGATCGCTCCCGCTTTTCTCAGTCAGCACCCTCGGTCTTCCCTTACACTCTTCTCCTTTTTCGATAGTATACTGTTAATAGTATGCAGTATGCAGTATGCTGTTAACTGTACACTAGTAATAGTATTTATATTTATTAGATTAATAATATATTATTTTAATTTTAATATTATTAATTTTTATTTATTTGAAATTATTGTTAGGTCTCAGGATAAATGGCAAGTGTATAGAGCAACTCAATAGAGTCTCCAATGGCATCAAAAAAAGATCCTATATAGAAGTATAATTATCAAAAGGATCCGAAAGATCCTAATGCAGTGACTTGCATGTTCTGCGATAAGACTACTAGATGTGGTATTTTTCGTGCAAAACAACATCTAGTAGAAAATTTCAAGAATGCAGCAGCTTGCAAAAAGTGTCCACCTGAGGTAAAAGAAGAGTTGCTGAGTTATATGAATTAAAAGAAGACGCAAAAGAAAATCTTATGGGAATTTACCAGAAGACAATATTGAACATCTCAGGGATGAAGAAGAAAATTATTCTATGAATATTAACCTAAGTGGGAAAAAAGTATACGACAAAAAAGGAAAAGAAGTTATGAGTACTAAGAAGGGTAAAAAAGGACCGATGGATCTATATATGTTTCAAGGATCATAGAAGCAACAAGGGCAAGCAGGAGGCTCAAAATTTAGACAAACAAATATAAGTGATGCTTGTGATAAAGAAATAAGAGGAAGAACAATTCAGCACATTGCTCGCTTCATCTATCAGGCTGGTCTTCCCCGTAGTACAACTCGTTTAGATAATTTTAAGGAAATGATTGAAGCTACTGGAAGATATGGTGTGAGATTAAAACCTCCAAGTTATTATGAAATGCGAGTTCCATTGTTGCAAAAAGAGTTGAATTATATAAATGGATTACTAAAATGTCATAAAGAATCATGGGCAATACATGATTGCTCTATTATATCAAATGTTTGGACTGATAGGAGGTGCAGGAGTATAATTAATTTTATGGTTAATTGTTCTTTAGGGACTATGTTTGTGAAGTCAATAGATGCTTCATCTTTTGTAAAATCTAAAGATAAGATATATGATTTACTTGACAAGTTCGTGAAAGAAATTGGAGAACAAAATGTCATTCAAATCATAACCGACAATGGAAGCAACTATGTATTAACTGGTAATATTCATCTTTTGAATTTTTGAAATTTTGAATTATTTTATCTTCAATTAAATATATTAAACTCTTAAGTCTTATCATTTTTGTTATCCTTTGTCTCAGGTAAATTGCTTAAAACAAAAAGACAACACTAATATTGGACTCCATGTGTAGCACATTGTATTGATTTAATGTTAGAGGATATTGGAAAGATCTTAAACATAAAAAAAAACCATAGAAAGGACAATTTTTGTTGTTGGAGTTATTTATAATCATATTGGGGCTTTGAATATGATGAGAGAATTCACAAGGAACAAAGAATTAGTGAGATATGGTGTCACCCGATTTGCTACTTCATTCTTGACATTACAGAGCGTGCATCGTCAAAAACATGTAGTTTTGGAATCATATAGTTTATATATTAAATATAATGAGCCCTCTTGTTCGAGTCTTTCGATTGGTGGATAATGAAAATAAACATGCAATGGGATATATTTATGAGGCTATGGGATTAAAAGGTTTTTTAATGAAAATGAAGATTAAATCTGTTATAAGATGGAATTGTCAACTTCATCATCCCTTACATGCAGCAAGATATTATTTAAACCCTGAATTCTTTTATAAGATTAAATATGTTGAGTTTGATGCAGAATTTTTGGATAGGTTATATCAATGCGTTGCAAGATTAGTTCCAAGCCTTGAGGTGCAAGATAAGATTATTCGTGAATTATCTTTATATAAAAATGCCGAAAGTCTTTTTGGAATTCCAATGGTCATTCGATCTAGGACAATTATATCTCCGGGTATTAATAATTTGATATAATTAATTTCATCTATAATATGTTACTATGTTATTGCTAATAATAACATAAATTTTGCAGTTGAATTGTGGAGTCTATTTGAAAATTCCACCTCGAACTTACAGCAATTTGCTATCAAAGTACTTAATTTGACATGTAGTGCTTCGGGTTGTGAGCGAAACTGGAGTATCTTTGAGCATGTAAAGATTACTAAATATTTTTATTTTAATTAATTAATTTATTTAGATAGATGTATTAATATATTTTAAAATTATATGGCATGACAGATTCACTCAAAGAGAAAAAATCGATTGGAACATCAACAATTACACGATTTTTTTTACATAAAGTATAATCAAGCTTTGAAGGCTCGTCATGATTTGCAAAATAGAATTGATTCAATCTCATTGCAAGATATTAATGATTCAAATGAGTGGTTGGTGGAAGAAATGGGTGCCAACTTACAAGATGCCGAAGACGAGCTTATATTTGAAGATGATAGATTGACATGAGGAGATGTAGCAAGAGCTTCAGGTGCTAGAGAATTACAAACATATACAAGGTAGATGACAAAGAGAAAAATGAGTGCAAAAGCATCAAGCTCGGCTCCTGATATTGTTGAAAACATAGAGAATGAAACATATCTTGATAAAACGAAAGGACAAAAGAAAGAGGACAAATTCAATGAAGATGATTTGTGTGAAAATGACGATAATATTAATTGTGATGAATGATTTTGATGTAAAATTTTATTGTTCTAAATTTTGAAACTTTTTGTTAATGTGACATTATGATTTTGTACCTTAGATTTTCTTAATTTAATAGTATATTTTTATTTAAAATTTTAAATAATTATATTTATTAATTATATTATATATTTTTATATTTTAGCGCCTCACTTCGCTCGGGTGAGCGCTTGCCTTAGGCGTTTTTGGACCTTGGCGCCTTTTGGCACCTAGCACTTTTTAAATCACTGTAAGACAATTATTAAGCTAATAATGCATTATGAATGTAAATATTGAATGCGTAAGAGACAGCATATGAATTAGTTCTATAACACTAGATGAGACTGTTGAGGTTGATGCGAAGTTGAGATTAATATGTCAAGTTAGTAGAAAAAAAATTACGAATACATATTCTCATTCATGAATAATTAAGTGTAGATCTGATAGAGGGTCAAATAATCGAGAATTGTTTAGGATAGTATAGACATGCTAAGGAAACCTATGAATGATTAGTGCGATGAGAGATTCAGAAAGACCTAAGAAGACAATATTAGAAATTATAAAAAAAATTACCTCATAAGACCTAAGAGATTCAACCAACCATAAACATTTTATAACAAATTTTCTATGGAAGTTACAAATCCTAAAAAATACACTCCATACAGCGTAAGACACCAACAAACTTTGTGCTAAGGTACCATTGATTAACATCTTTTAGAAAATTTAGCAGGATAAGGGATCATAAACTCTAGAAGGAACTGGCCTTTGTATGACTAACAATCATTAGTATAACATTCTAGTCATTAAACTTCGTTACCAGTGTAAGCATATTCTCTTCATATCTTGAGAGTTCCGACTGGTTAGAAAGCTAGCCCAGAATCGTCTGAATCAAAATATTGTTTGATAAGGTTTGTCATTTAGGTCACATGCAAGTTATGCAGAATAATCCCAAGTGAGATTAAACTTATCTTGTAAGATTAGAGAAGAATGGGAAGAATTATAATTTAAATTTACAAAACAAATACTGGACAAGCACCACATCAGTGACAATCTTTTCTTCATTAACAATGAATTTAATTGGGATGGTAGTCAAAGTTCTGAACAGTTTGATGCACTTATTTTAGTAATTTCTCCTACTATTTTGAATGTTTAGCTAGGACGCTTGTTTTTCCTCATAAAAACATATTTTACAATATAGTTTGCTAAATAAGGATGTATATGGTGTACATATATATGTCAGACCTTCACTGACTTTTTGATGTGACAATAACAATACCCCTTGGGATGGGCCCTGAACTACATAGTGTACATATATACAGCATGATTTACAAGACAACAGAGGAAAAGGTTGGGATGGTCCTAAACTCTATCGTCCAAACTTGAACTGATCGAAGAGATTTTACTAATCAGCAAGGTTCGCCGTACCGTACCATACCGGCGTTTCAACCCGGACTCGGTACAGTACGGTACCGGTGTACCGGTCAGTACATGGCGTATCGAGTGGTACACCCTGATGTACCGAACAATTTTATACTTTCCATACTGTAGCAGTGCTACAGTATAGTACACCCCGGTACAGGCGGTACACTTCGGTACGGCAAACCTTGCTAATCAGGATAGTTCAAAAATGACTCACAACGTGAGACATGATCTTACTCGAACCTAACCCTTGCCTCATTCAACACTTCACTTTAATCCCTAACTATCTTAATCCCTATCTAATAACCTGAATTCAGTGTTACCAGCATCCTCTCCCTCTCCTCTTCTCTCCTCTTCTCTCCCACCCATCCACCAATCCCCACCCAACCCCTCTATTTTTTTTCCCTTCCACTCTCTCACATTGGTTTGCCACAAAACTCTTACCCTCATGAATTGTCTCCTCCAAGTGGCAACTACCACCTCCTCCCATCGCCAGACACAAATTGCAATATTTTGGAGCAACATATCATCAATGCAGTGCCCTCAACTATTTGAATGGGAATCCCCAAACCTAGATGGAACAAGGAGGAGACACCTTAAATTTATTTTGAGTGTGGATGAGAATGGGAAAACCCAACCTGGTTAGCCTCATTTGCAATATCAAAAAAAATTCTCCATACCGATTAGCTGCCAAGAAGTTGATGACAGGTAAAAGAGGAGAGTTACATCATCCCACACTATTGAGGAGAGATACTCCTCAATGGGCTTAAATGTGAGAGTGATCTTTCATTACAAGTTAAAACAAAAACAGAAAAATCCTCCCATGGCTTACATTAAAGTAAGAATTATTTGTATCTACCTACACCTTTTTTTGGCTCCTTGCTTACATCTTATCTTCTCCTTATGTAAATTCTACTAGTTTTATTATTTCATCGACTGAGACCTTTAAAGTAAGAAGAAAACCATTTTACATAGTCATCAAAAGCTATGCCACCCTTTGCCAGACAAAAAATTATGCAAACTGAACAGAGAGTCATTCCTGAAATAATTATACTTCAAAAGGAAACCAAAATTACAAACAGAGGTGATTTTGCAAAATGGATAAGATGCAGATGTTAAAGTGAAAAACTAACCCCTTGCAAGCTACCAGTTTCACAAGAGCCTGTTTATTTTCTCCCACTTCAACATATGAAAAATTTACCTACAAGAAACCAAATAGACAAGAAATTCTCCGTGAACGTGTCAATGAAAATTTGTAACTGGTAGTTTCAGTTTTTTTTCCCATGTAGCTGGAATGTTCTTTTTAAACTTCTCCTACTTTGTTGTATTAATTTTTCTGAAACTAACCAACGAGCAAAAGAAGACTACATCAGATACCAGATTACATAGGTAATATAAGATATACAGTTTTCCAGTGGTTTTATGAGACAAAAAATTAGGAGCTGAAAACAGTGCAAGATTGCATATTCAATAGACTATCTACATACACCTCAAGAACTAAGTCTGATTAGAATTCTGTAATCCAAGTAAATTCATTACTTTCCTCAAAAAGATAAAGTCATCATTTGCCATTTTAAATCTTCACAAACAGTGATGACATCAATAATATATATGGCAGTTGACACTGCAAAAGCATCACACAAAAAGAAATGTGGTGACCAAACTATCTATACAATCCAAAATCCAATACATATCAAATCCTCACAACAACAACAACAACAACAAAATCCAGAATGCATGGTGGCCTCCACAATGAGGTTGATGTTGTGTGGAGGGCCTGCCAACACTGTGGCTAAAGATCAAATCAGATGCAATCCATGCCAGGCACATAACTACCACACCCTCATGCTCCAAAATCTAAAATCTTGGCATAATCAACCTACAAAAAATATAATTTTTTCCACATATCTCCTTAGTTTGAAAAAATTTATATCAAGAATAACATTTGGCCATTGTTAGGATCATTTTTTTAAGAAAAGCAACATAACCTCATTTGATTTCATCGTTAATATGGATATTTAAAATAAATTTTCTGAAAGATTATGCGGGGTAGTTGTGTTAGTAACAACAGCTAAAACCATACATGTTATAGCATCAACAGAATCATAACAGTGACTGACAAAAAGCAACATGTCAAGTTCTAGTCAGTTTTACCAAAAATATAAAGAAAATGTAAACAAAAAAATCATAATATTTCATGAATTATAACACAAGAAAAGAATGTGTACTTCATAGCTTCCTAGACCATCTTTCTCGTTGCATTTCTTGTCGCCACAGATAAATTGACCTGTTACAAACAAAAATAAGTTAATACTGAACAAGTTTTAGAATACCGGTTTGATATTGGTTTCAACAACATATTGGACTGGTAAATTAATAGTAAGCATTATACTAACCTATAACGTCCAGTATTGCTAAATTAAGTAATATAAAAATGAGAGGTATACTGAATTATAACAAAATGATGGCCCAATACTAGTGCTAGGTCAGACCATAGAATACAAGTCAATTCATACTGGTCCAACCAGTATCTGATACCATAATGCTGGCATCATAAAATTCTAAAGTCACTTTTTAGTCCACAACATGTGTTGTACATTCCACAAACTAGCACAGAACAGCAAGCAAAGCCACTCATTTACGATATGCATGGTAGGAAGGTATACCTCGTGGTTATGCCAGAACTCCTCTGACAAGGAGCATATTGATACATACCAGTGAGGTCTACACTCCATTTTCGCACTTGATGGTTGCATATTTTAACTAATAGTTTGTTTGATATCATTATCGTCAGTAAATGGCTCCAGAGGAGAGTTTGACCAAATTCATTTTGCATTATATCAAGTGATTGTAAAAAGAATATGTACCTAGCAATATTGGTGATCATATCAAGAATTGAAATATCGTAATGTACCAAAGTTTCGACATTCTCTTGGTACGGTATGGTATTGTATACCGAGCGGTATATATATATAATTTATTTATAAATAGAAAAATACCGTCCGGTAGCGAGCGGTTCGCGTATCGATTTACTGTCGGACCGGTACGTACTGCCCGTACCAGGCGGTATCATTCGAAAATGTATACCTTGGATCATATACATTTCTCATGTGATAAGATAGGATGTTTTAACTGACCATTCACAAGTGATACAATACAAGTACCTGAACATAAACATCTCCATAAATTCCTTTTATCTGAAAGCTAGAAAACAATTAAAATCAAGACTAATTCACAAAAATGTTATTTAGCCAATATCACACAGCATTCAAGAAATGTCACTAGTACAATTCAGTAAAAAAAATTATATGTCAGAATTCAGTTACAGAATTGTTCATAAAGGATATCTGATCCTACATGCTAAGGAATATTACACTTCCAATCATCTATATAGAGATATAACATCTGAGAAATAATACCTCCTTGTGAGAAAAAAGAAAATGATAAGTTAGGAATTTCACCTTTCCCAGATACAACCTCTTTTTCTGTTCTCCACCTTAAGCCAATCTGAGAGAAACAAACCAATGCTCATAAGAATATAGATAAATTATAAGCAGATTACTGATAGCTGAAAGTGAATATTCCACAAAGTGAACTTTGAGCATTATGCCATATGAGAAGAGCTTAAAACCAGCTAAAGAAAATATGTTGATAAATAAATTCATAATTCCAAAGAAAACATGGATCTGGCAAAATAAATTTCACATTTGTATTTTATACGTGCAGTTTCATCCAGTGTCAATCTGCATGAGTGAAATTTCTTGTGGAGATCTCATCCACATCAAAATAACTTTGTTTACTGGCCTAGTTATGCAATGGCATCAATACCATTAATTGTATTTAGCTAATTTAGTAAAGGAGTAAGAATTCCAGCAAGCAGAGTTAATTGAATCCCTTTTCTCCAGTAATGATTATTAAGTTGTCTAACCCAAGCTCATTTGATGAGAAGAGATTCTGCAGAAATCTATCACAATATAGGCCTGTTAGCATCTCGACATGCTTTAGTATGAAGACAATTATGCACTGACAAAACTACTATGGTAATCATCTTTTGGCACATAATGTGGACCTTAGATACTTAAAAACTAAACAAGAAAATTTGTTGGATGGCACGAGAAAGCATGATTCCCAATTTCAGCCAGATCAATACATATCGTTTGGTAATTACCAGTCCGAAATTGAATTGGCATGTGGATTGCCCATTTCGGGCATTCGGGTCTGATACAATGCTTACCGCCTAGTAAATCTATTGAACCAAGCTGACCACCAAGTATAAAGTTTAGTTTTTTTTTTTTAATTTATGGCTACCCCCCACCTCCCTCCCTCTCTCGTGCCGCTCACCGCCAGCCCTCCCGATACTTCATTAAGCATGCCCATCAAAAGTTCTAAACACTCTTAGGATACCTGGGAATTAGTTTGTGGTGATTCTCTTTTCCATGTGTTGTTGGTAACTACATTTACTGTAGAGCAAAATTGATTACATTAAAAGAAATAATCAAGGTCATTACTTTCTTGGATTATCTAGTGAGCAGTGACGCTGTCGGCAATCAAAGCTAAGTAACCAAAGATGGTCCATGTAATTAACCCCAAATAGTTGGGAAGTAAAGTTTGTTAATGATATTTGATTTACAAAATGATGGAACTAAGGAGTAAGGATGTCCAAGAATTGATTTTAAATATCTTAAAATTTGCACTCCCTCACCCACAGCCATCTGCCAAGGGGATCTCAAAAATTAGTATAAATCTAGAATCAAATTTGAAAAGAAAGAAAATAAGTATGAAGAAAATAAGTTAATAATACAAAGTAAATCAACAGTAATAGTGAGTCATCACCAAAGTAAACCAAAAAAACATAGCCAGACAGAAACAGTTGGAAACAAAAGTTTACTGCAACTCTGTCAGTACCCAAACTTTGAGTTATCCACCTGTTACTTGCATATTGTATTTCACATTCTTGAGTTCATCAAATTATCTTACAGTGACTAACATTCTGACTACAAGTTTATATTCTCATGTAAAAGATACTCCTACGTTATTGCATTAAGTAATTATCTTTCTTTCTCTTTTGTTGCTACATACATATATAGAAGGGAATTTGGCAGTGAAAGATTCTTGTAGAAAACAAACACCTGGAAATCGTAACAAAAACATTCAGCACTTGCATCCTAAATCTTTATCATTTTAAATCCAATATTTAAGTTTGATATTTCAAAATCATATGCATTAAGTTGTACAAAATTCATGCAATGCCTATCCACATAACAAAAATTTAAAAAAAAATGTACTAGAATATCTAGCATAAACATTAGCATCCAAATTATGAAAGTGATCAGTTAATCTTACTGTCCTTTGCTAATTGCCATGTACCTTTCCTTGTTTGTAAAGCGACATATCAGCGATGCAATATCTTACTCAGTTAAAGTCACAAACAAGAAAAATATGAGCATTTTAAGATGTGTATCATCTAAAGTGACATATAAGCAATGCAATATCTTTCTCATGCAATGCCTTTCCTTGTTTGTGAAGTGACACATCAGCGATGCAATATCTTTCTCATGCGATGCTTATCCTTGTTTGTAAGGTGACATATCAGCGAGGCAATATCTTTTATTACTGAAGGACATAAAGATGTGTAAGGCACAAAACCCATACAATAAGTTTCCAAAATATCTTGGCAGCCATAAATAGGAATCCTTCAAAGACTTAGCTGGAGGGCCTAGACACACAAGCATCTGCCGAGAATAATAATAATAATATACATGTTCATGATATACACAAAACTTAAGCACAAACAATTTTCGTTACTAAGTTGACAAGAAAACACATATTATCATATGCAGTCTTCCATTAATTTTAAAATGGACTTCAAATAAGACAGTATTCTTAACACCCATTCTTTCATATTGAACATTCCAATTATAAATCTAGGATGATACAAATTTTCTATTCAACGTCTCATTATAGGTATTTGAATGAAAAAAAGGGTTGCCTACAAGACATTACAAGGCTCCCAACAGTGAGGTTATGAGGAGATGTTTTGATCAAAGATATACTGAAAGTACTAATACTAATAAAAAAGGACACATTACAACAATTTAGACAATGACATGCATCATGGTCTAAAAAAGTCATAAAAAAAGATATTTAGCAGACCAAACCAATATATTGACTGTTGTTAATTCACTACACAAGAACACAGCAACTACTTTTGCATGTAGAATCTCATTTCAAAATACTTGCACTTGGTGAATTACTTGTAATGATGTGTTATTTTCAACTTTATTGAATCAAACCTTATTACTCTTCACTAATTAGTATTTGCAAGCGGTTAGGAATGAGGTACACTTAGTGACATAGTTATCTTTTTAGGCTTTTAGCCTCCATCTAGGCGCTCAGACTTTTTGGTTAGAAACTCAAAAAGCACCATTGCCTAGTGATAAAGTTAGCTAAATAAACTTAGCAGGCCACCTACGGAACCTAAGTAGTGCTTGTCAAAAAAAAGATGATACTAGATCATGAAAGTAGAATAATTGCAAATAAATACATGGTCAAAATAAAAATAGTCAGTAAACAGATGAGTAAGGCATCAAATATGAATGATCAAATTAGGAAGGATACTCTTTAAAAAGCTTATTATAATAGCGTTTCACCAGCCTCTTCTCCCAAGTTGACTCCATGTCATCATCTTCAGAAATTATGAACCTTTTTCACAAGACAGATTTCTATAAATTTTTGAACAAAGGAACCTTCAAATACAGGAAAACAAGATTAGTTATCAAAAACTGATTCCTAAAAGATTATAAAACCTCTCCTAATCTCATGAACTGGCTGTATGTCCAACACAAGCTACCAGTATACCAAAAGCAGTCAAACATATATACCAACACATTTAACTACATCTCTCCTATAGTGTACTTGGGCCTCATCTGGTTCAATCTTTACTAGTATTATAAATTGTAAAACACAATGCTAGCCAAACAACTATTCTAGCTCATGGAGACAAATAAGAGAAACAATAAGTGGCCACCACTACCACTGGGTTTCTTTTTAGAAACTAAGGAAATTTTGGGTTAATGCAGCCACCAATATAGATATCCTATTAGTCAATTTTCCTTGTAAGGTAATTTTTTACCTAGTATAATTTAACTTGCTAGACATTTGGCACCAACTAAAAAGAATGTCAGATAAACAGCTGGTCATTAAATTTTCATAGGATCTTCCAGGAAGCATCCTCATGTTTGGATTATGTTCTATATCTGGTCCCTCATTCATAGGAAAAGACTCAAATAATGATATGAATTATAGTGAAATGCCCACCATTTTATCAACTTAATTAACTGTGCCACAAAAGCTGCTGTAAGAATTACAACATTTTCAACCACTCAATTTCCAACAGTCCTTTTCCTTTCACCTAATAATTATCCACCTACATAGTCATCCCTGGTCCCTTTATGCTGATTCATATTATATGATATATCACTACAAGATAAATTTTTTCCTAATTCACATGCAATCACAACTAATCTAGTATAGTAATACTAAATTTCACATTTTTGTATATGTCATGTAATATATAACAGATTTTTCATATTACTACACCAAAATCTTCTCAAAATTATAAATCTGGCAAACTAACTTACATCAAACCAGTTTATCTTAAACACAATCCTGTTCAATCACAATAACATTCAGAATATCACATATATTATTTGATGTAGTACGAGACCGCAATGAACAAAGCAAGTTCTTTTTTTGTGAAACGAGAAAGAGAAAGATAAATATAATAAAAGTTAACTTCTAGACTCGCCCTGGCTTAAGACGTAACTCTCAAGATGAAGGCCTCTGGCGCCCATGTAGATTCTCACAACCAGGTGTCGTTGGCATATGATGTGGGAACTGCCTCTCTTCTTTTCTCCATTTCTTAAAAAAGGACCTAGACCTCCTCCTTTCTTGGGAAATTTCATTGAAGAGGGCCTAAGGGCCTCCTCATCCTCCTCCCCTCCCACAAAAACAGGATCGATCACATCCAGCCGGAATGAACAGAAAGAACTTTTGTCTTTGTTTTACTACAAAGCTTCACTTCCTCTTGATCCGTTTGGGCAAAAGGATTCGGTGATCAAATCCTTCCTCTGAATGGATTTACACTTTGTGGGAGGATTGATAGGGACGCTAGAGGAAGAGAAATCTGAAAAAGAAAAAGAAGCTTATTGAAAATGGAATACCTACTCATGCAATTGCAAAGAGACTTTAAGCAACAAGCTCCAAACTCGGACTTCTTGAGCATGTAAACTTGGCTTCTTAAGGCTTCTCTCTTGTTGTCGCCTCTCTCTTTTTTTCCTCTCTTCCTAGGGCTGCCACCCCCTTTACTTATAGTTGTAGAGGGGGAGGGCTACTAACCAGAGGACTCTCAATCAGAGTCCAACTCTTAGACCACACAAGGGACTCCTAATCAGTTAAGTCTTCTAAATTTGAGTCTAATTCAAATTGAGCTTGGGCTAAAGTCTTTAGGCTAGCCGAACTAGGACTTGAGCTGGGTTGATCCTCCCTAATCAACAGCTCCCCCAATTTGGCATTCAATTCCTATTGAATCTAGAATTGAAGATGGGAAACTATGCTTCGCTGACTTCTTTCGTGAACATTTTGTGGAAATCAGTTTTTGCCCTTTACATCCTATTCGAAAAGCTATTTTAATGCCTTGTCTTAAAGCGGTAACCTTCTTTTTGACAATGGTATCTTCATCCAAAGTGCCAGTCACCAACTTATCTAATCATCTATCAAAGGAAATATCTTGTACGACTTGTCATCTAGCATCAATGGCTCGAACATCTTCAAGCTCTCCACATTCACAATCGAGTACATCTCCATATATGGAGGCAACTCGAGTTGGCAAACATTGTCTCCAATCCACTTCAAGACTTTGAATGGTTCATATCGAATGTGCTTGAATTTCTTTTCTTCTCCTTTAGTTATTTCTTCCCTAAGTGCAACCAGACAAGGCCATCTTCTTGATACTGACCCTTAGCGCAGTGTTGATCATGTCACTATCTGTATTTCTGTTGAGCACACTGAAGCTATGTTGTTCAACTTCCTAGCGCACCCATCGGATGTGCTCGTGAAATTTCTAGGCTTGTAGCGCTATGTTACCTTCTTTGGAGGTTTGTAATATTGAATCAATCATAACTGCATATCAAAAGGGCTTTGGTGTAAGTAGCCCAAGTATACCTTGAATGGTGATTAGGTTGTGAAGCTGTACACCACTTAATTAAATGTGAATTGCAGATACGATAGACTTTCGTCCCATGTCTTCAAATGTTGGGAGTTATATCCTCATAGTAGATGAAAAATCATGTGATTCACTACTTTGGTTTGTCCATTCATATGCAAAGTGATCTCCAACAGCTGCTTAAGAACTATCCATCTTTGTTGGACATGATTGAGCTCAAAAGCTCGAAGTGTGTACACTCAAAGTTTTGACATACCTCTATGAGGGAGTACGTTAATGGCACATCAATGACGAAGAAGTTTCGACAGAGATATTGGCATGCCCCCATGAAGCTCCAAACCTTTGTTACTGTCCTCGTCCTCAGCCATATTCTCAGATCACCTAATGAACCGCCTTGTGCCAAGTGTACTGGCTAATTTACATAGTATGTGTATCTGTAACCTGATAAACCGCTAAATAATGTCTGTATCAAACCAAACTGGATGATATTGCAAATCTTTGTCTAACCTTTGTTCCTAATCTTCTTAAAGAAATGCAAGAGCAAAATATCACAATGGTAATAACTAATAACATAGTTTATCAAATTAAATCTCATAAAAAGATATATACAAGTAATATTGTAAAGGGTATTCACATACAACCACTTATGTTATTTGTTTAGTATAAAATCCTATGCCTAATAACTATGTATATCCTACCTTAAAGGTGCATCAAATCAAATGTCTCCCCCTACCAAAATCTGTCACTTAAGCCAAATCTACCTTTGTTATCTTATATTTCAAAGATTGAAAAGATTGCATAACATTGTTGGCTCCCTTAGCATGTCACACATCTAATCTATGCTTAAATTCAAGAGCTCTCAAGCAAAGGAGCTTCAAATCCAATCTCTTTTCAATGTGATTATTGTTTATCCATGATGCAATAAATCATCGCTATTGAAGACTAAGATTATTTGTGGATTTGAGGATAGGAAGTTTGAAGCTCAATAACCTTTTAACAATGAGTATAGTCGGTAAAAATACTTAGAGAAGTGACTTGGGGTTTCACAATAGTTGGCTATTCTTTTTTTAAAATTCTTGTTGCACTTTTGATACTTCCATGTTGGTTTGAGTCCTCAAGTTTTTCTGAGGAGCTTTTCTCTTAATCGTCCTTGTTCTAGTGAAATGTTTTGGAATAGTATTTGGTAGAATGTTTTTATTGATTATTGGGATTTCTTCTCATTTTTGGATTTTGTTGGAATTTTCTGTTCAAGTTTTCCTGTTTAGTTTGTACATATATTTTACACATTACTTGTTAATGTGTTCAGAAAACATGGATGCCTAAGGAGTAGAAAATGGTTATCATAAGTGACAAATAAATCGAAAAGGATGAGCTATATAGTTGGGAGAAAAAGGGAGTTGGGCAGGAAGTAGAAATCATTATGATGAAAGATAGTAAGGCCAAGGGGGGCACGATATGCTTGGCAGAAAGAAAGGATCTATAGTTAGGAGAAAAAGGGATTGAGAAAATGAGGAGAAACAAAATGAGAACATCAGGGAGAAGCAATGTTCACTGAACATGGAAGATAAAGGTGGAAAATAAAGGGAAAAAGGGTTGGCTAGGAAACAGGGAACATTGGGGATGTTTATCATGAACAAATATAGCAATTTTCTCCATTACATTACAATAACAGAATTTCAAAGTAGCAAACAAGGAGTATTCTGAATTTATGCTACAACTATTACTTGATGTTGACAGTCAAATTTCTAAAGCATTTTAGAAGCAGGGGGATTTTTATAATAAAAAATTATGTAGGGGTTTGTATGCAAAATCTTAATATGAAGAAAATAAGGTGGTGTATTGTTTGCAACTAAATCTGGAATTAGAGTTGTAATCATATTTGGAATAGCCATTCCCTTCACACGTTCAGTTCATGCACTCCTGAACTGGAATTAAAATCTTATGTAAAAGAATTACAGGAACATTTTGTTGCAATCAAATTGAGAGACCAAATAAAAATTATACAGAACATTCCTTTCACATGTTTGGTTCATGCATTCTTGCCCCAAATTCAAAACCTAAGCACTATTTTGACTCGAACTCAGAAATGAGTTGCTAAATTTTACTATAAACAACCATAAATCATAAAAGGAATGCCACAACAATAATATGCACAATAAAGAGAGACAAAGTAGTCAAACACACTATACAACAAATAGACAAAGCAAAGAACACAGAATAAAAAGAACAGCAAATTCCCTAGGGTACTTAACAATATAACACCACCAAAGGCATTGTGTTTGATTTAACATCCTACAATCATCAAACGGAAAACATGAGATACTTCAAACCTGTAGCCTTCTCGAATTGTGTCTTGGTCAGTCTTTATTGGCAATTTATCATGTGTATGGCTTGTCTTTCCATAAAATTGTACTGTGAGATGCACAAACTAATAAAATAAAAGAAGTAATAATGCATAAAATAAATCAAAAAATTATAAATATTCATCTAGACATATGAATTGAATGAAATAAGAATCAACAAAGCAAATGCATGACTAAGCTTTCAATATTAGTGTAGTATATACACATGTTCTGGCAATCTCGTGAGGTAATCACCCGTAATAATTAAGATTATCGCAATGACATTGAATTGTGCAGGCAGTGTTCTTTATTTTCTCTTAGGGAACTATCATGCCACTGTGCAATGCATCAGATGCAAGGTGATATGGTTTTTCTCAACATCAGATACATGTAAATTACATTTTCACCGCCAATCAAGTGGGAGCCTCTCTCTCTAATAGGGGTACATTTTTTCTCAATATCAGATACATGTAAATTACATTTTCACCGCCAATCAAGTGGGAGCCTCTCTCTCTAATAGGGGTACATTACACTTTGTCTGTTTAAGGGGACGGCCTTTTCTTCCAGTGCTGATGTTTCTAGGGATCCAAAAGTATAGGCAAGTCAAACCACCTATTTTAAGCAAAATACTCATTCTTTGGCCCAAGGATTTAGATATTAGTCAAACTAATACATACCAACTGGTATTCATTTAGCCAACCAAATACTGATATCAAAAGATATGACTGAATATTGGTATATGGTCGGTTCATTTTGATTTTATTTTTATTTTTTTAACTTTACTAAATAAAATTGGTTGTTATGGTCAGTATATTGTGTGTATACCGGAATGAAACAAATCCAATAAATTACTGAAACTGATGTTGGACCAGCATTTAAAACCTTATTCTCTCTTAGCTTCAAGGTTTAGCAAATTGGATTCACGAACTGACTGTGTTTAGAAGACCAAACAGACCAGTCTTGATTTGAAAACCCAACTTAACAGTTTTATCAAGGCATATATTATTATCAACCCGTAAGAAGCTGCTTCAAAGCTTGTCCTAAAGAGGCTTCATTGTGAGGAGTCATCAACTGACAGTCTAGAGGAGGCCTCAAGCATCAAAAGTCGGAACCAAGAATAATATAGTTTACATTTTTATGGTTTCCAGTTTCTTACTTTCTTTCCCTTTTTTTTTTCTTGGTGGCACTCCTAAGTCAGCACTTTGTTGTGTCATATGTTGACATCCTTTTGTGTCATATGTAAACATCAACAGTCCATACATCAATCAACAAGAAATTGAAAATACCATCGAATATCGATATCCTCAATACTTTAAGGACTCAAGAACCAAGATCTCCTATCTCATCAGAAATTACTCATCAAAGCAGCATGTTGTCCCCAACTCTTTCTTGGACACAAGGAATGACATCATTTTTTTTTCTTAACATACTGAAGCACAATAATGAAACATAGCACTGTAACCCTATTCCAAAATGTGCAGATAAACGTAACCCCCTAACCCTTTCTTTCACAGAGAGGGTTGTTCATCATCTGATTTTTTTAAGACATTAGGAACATAACATATGAACAGCTCATTATATGCAAAGCTTTTAAATGTCCCTTGACTTTTTATTTAAAATTGCAAAAACAAAATATAATACCTATGTTTGTGTCAAACATGACAAAGAACTTAGAAATTTGAGTCTCAATGTAGTATGATGTAAGTTCCCAACTATCATAGATCTTTTCCTGCCACTGAGCTCCTTTGATCATTAGCTACTTAATTCATGTCAAGTAGCAACCTAGGCTCATAATGCAATCTGTAGATAACCATGTTCAACATTAATCAATATTTGTTATTATAATGTCCAGATGCATGTAGCCCTCTACCTCTTTCTTTGATATAGTGGGTTGTTCATCATCTGCTTTCTTTAGGACATCAAATATCTTGCATATAAATATCTCATTATATGCATTATTGATAACGTCCATTTTGTATAAAACTTGAACAAATTTCATCAGTACATTTGAGCTGAAACAGCACTATGAGACTACAGCAGCTGAAAACACAAGCAAACAACACAAACATGAATCTAAATCCATCTTTAGGGTTTCAAACACCAACTCTCAGTACAGATATAATTAGTAAAATATGATATCTCTAAGTTGTTTTGCTAGATGGTTAATCAAGTGTCTTTTTCTTGAAACAAAGAAAAATATAACTAGTATTGACTCACAACATAACCTAGCAAATATGCTAGAGAAAATGTAATATCTAATTTTTGGAGAGGAGTCCCTCCTAATAGACGCAATCAAGATAGCATCAAAATTATAACATTGAAACATATTTAGCCTCACCAGCCAGGACTTAAAACAGCAAAGATCACAAAACTTTTTTAAATAACATGTAAAACTTCAAATAACAGTATAAAATTATAGTCATATTTTTCCTTTACTGGATTGCTGCCATTCTACTGTCTGAAGTAGTCACGGAAGCTGGAACAAAAAGGAGGTATTGGCCCATCCAGTACTTAATTAGGGCCACACTAGGGAAGAAACCCTTAGTACAACATCAAAGAAGTAAGATATTATTTCTAACAGAACTACCTGTTTTGAATCATTATCTACATGAAATTCTTGATCAAATTTGTTCCCTTAACCAGGCCACTGCCTATGAGTCACCAACTCATTCTTCAATAGGTATGCAGTTAAAAATCACATTATCCTCGATTCCTCATACTGCTTGGGAGCTCATGGTTATATGTTCTATGTCACTCCCTGATGGGGTTCTTTTCACCTTTCACTCCCATTACTACTTATCTGTCGGTCACCCAAGACTATTTGACCTTGCAAGATGGTCCTTGCTAATTCATTTGTATGCACAAGTTGTTAATTAATCATGATAATATTTTCCTTTTAAGAAAGATCCCTTATCTTCAACCATATAAAATCCCTTGCCAAGAACACTTGCCATCCACACTAATAACACTTGAATAATATTGAAGACCACAAAATTGTTAATTGCAAATCATGTTCCCACTTCGGAATAATATGCTTTCAAGTCATTGAACAATTGCATTCAATTTCATTTACAAATTGTCATTACTTCTATTGCAATTAAGAAGAAGCAATGTACCACAAGATATTTAGGAAGACAAGGCCATAAACTACTAGAGCTATGTACAATTTTACAATTGCTCACTGTCAAGACTAAAGTTGCAAAAAGCTATTTATGAAGCAAAGTTATGGCTGTAATAAGGTCACCTATTGTATAACATAAAAGAGAATTTATGACATATACCAGCAACAAATGAAAATTGTTTTTGCCATTTGTGTGTGCTTATACAACTAGTACCAATAATAAATAATTCGTGTTCACAATAAACACCAAAATGTGAACTTAAAATTCAGGTGTATGTCACAGGTATAAGGAAAAAAAGAAAGTGATATTTAGCAAAAGAAAAAGACTTTTGCATGACAAAAATGATTCTCTAGTGAGTGATAGAAGGGAAAATGATTGAGGTGCAATCTCCAATGAAAAGTTAATTAAAGCTTATTATCGTTAAAAATGAAAAAAAAACACTCTTCTAATATAAGTGACATTACACGTCTATTAATCCTCTCACCTATTGAAGTAGAACTATACATGAATAATTAATACAAATAAAGATTTAGAAATTTCTGGTTTGATTGAATGTTGTTTGTGGATATCATTTATCATCTAGATGTTTAAAAATTCAGACCCACTAGGAGAATGAATAAGGTAGGAGATATCTTACTTTAGTTCACTTTTACGGCAAATCACAAGCATATTAGAAAACATGGAATAATGGGAAAGATTGTTATACATCTCACTCGTTAATTTATGTTCCGTATAAACCTACATGAAAATATTTTTTATTATTAAACATGTCTCTGATACAGCTAGTTATTAAGCAACAAATATGGTATTACCTACTGCATTCAATGTGAGATAAATCTTCAAAAAAAGAGTCAAATTCCCAAAAGACTAATAAGCATCAATAAGACAGAGACCTAAATTTCCTTCACCTCCAACCCCAAAAAATTTACCATATTCAGTCATATGAACAAGATAAAATAAAGAAACCCACGTCTAACGGAAACTTGTATGTACATTTATCCATGAAGAATAGCCGCATATATCCTCTCAAAACATCAATTATTTAAATTCTTGTTGAACGAACTAGAAAAGCAATGACCCACCATAATCCTTCATGAACTTATTGTGCCGATCGTAGGCATTGAGCCCCCTAATCTGAGATTGGTATTGCCTGCGGGCAGTAGACCAATAAGCAAATCGATATTTTCGTGCAAGAAAACCATCTCTAAAAGACAAAACCAAAAACATATACTTCGGAAGAAACCAAAAAAATATATACATCTTCTTCTCCTCTCTATCGTAGATTGAGGATTTCAGCGACCGGAGCGACGCCATCGCTTGTCCTTCTCCGCCTCCAACGAAACCCTAGTGTTCAAGATTCATGAGGTGATAAAGCTTTTGTCTTTTTTCATATATAACCCTTTACATGGCATTATTCACATATATACTCCTCAAAGATTTATATAAATATAATAATTATAATTATATTATAATTCTTGTATCAATATTCCCAGGGAATTTAGGGAACTTAATTAATATTGACCTTTAGATATGTAGCCTTAATCTTTATAATTGTATCTCTATATATTCCATGAAATATTAATTTATTTGTGAGAAATATTTATAACCTTAATATTTTTGCCCATGTCTTTAAAGTTCTTTTTTATTTTTAGGAATGGACAACGTAACGTTCCCACAGTATATAAATTGTAAAGATTCAAACGACCATTAAATGGCATAAGAAAATTAATTTTTATTTTAAATAATTTAAACTAATAAACTTATAAATAGAAACAACTCATTATCTTACCTAAATTAAGAATGCTCGAGTTTTTGTGGTTTTAGATTGTTAATCTGACAGAACGAAGTTGACCCGATATCACTTGCTTTTAGAATGTACTGTGATTGAAGATCGGATGACCCTCGGCATGGCCAAACTCGTTGTTCGTTAGTGCTTCCTCGCTTGTAAGGGCTGCTTCCAAATTAAAGGATCATGCAAAAGCAAGTCTTCTTGACACTTCAGTTAACAGCCTGTTCAAGAAAGCAAGTCTTTTTGGAAGTGTTCGGAGTATCTATATACGTGGAGAGGCCATCATTCTAGAAGCTTAGGCTGTAATGGTGTGAGGTATTGGGAATATTTTCTTCTATATCTCATGCTGATCGGTGTTCTTCTTGGTGGGCTGTCGGCGTGCATGCTGATCACAGGAAGGATTCTCCTAGGAGTCGGCGTGGGATTTGCTAATCCGCTTGGTTAGCTCTCTCTCTCTCTCTCTCTCTCTCTCTCTCTCTCTCTCATAAGATCTTGAATGTAGTGTTGCTTTCTATCTCTCTCTCCTATGTCTCTCCGTACGCTTGGTTACTCTGAGATCACACCCTGTTCATATCCGTGGAGTCTTAAACATCCTCTTTCAGCTCGATATCGTCATCGGAATATTCGCGACCAACATCATTAATTACTTGGTGTCCAATATCCACTCCTTCGGATGGAGACTGATGCTTAGACTAACTGGGCCACCATGTTTTGCTTGGGCTCTTTTGTGATTGTCAAGACCCCCACGAGCCACGAGCCTCATTGAGCGCAAGCAGCTGACAATGGGCTTGGCGACGCTTAAGAAGATTCAGGGGACTGACAACATTGATGCAGAGTACAAAGAGATCATGAATACATACATGCGAGAGGGCATGATATGTAAACCGTTTAAGAACCTCATGAAGAGATCGAGCCGACTATAGTTAGTGATCACCATCGTGACGCAGGTCTTTTAGCAATTCACTAGGACCAATGCCATCATATTCTATGCACCGATCCTCTTCCAGATCATTGAATTCAAGAGCGATGATGCTTTCGTTGCTCTCTGTCATCAACATCGAAATCATCAATATGCTATCCATCGTCGTGTCGGTGGCTTTGGTGAACAAAGTCTGCAGGAGATTCCTACTGGGCAGATGTTGATCACACAGGTTCAAAAATTAATGGGTAATACCTCGACATATTAAACATGTCTAAAATCTTATGTTATGACATTGATTATCTACATGCATCTAGGTAGGTTGTTATTATAGGAAAATATATGGATGACATCATATGCATAGTCGAAAAACATAAAATAAAACTTTAATATTTTTCAAAAATATGTTCGTCGTCGTACGAAAGATTGATACACAAAAACTTACGAAACTTAAATCCACATGTGAGATAAATATACATAAATATATTGTGATGACTGTGCTTAAATTTCGTAGTTAACATATAATTGAGATTGGAATTGGGCCAACCCAATTAGGGGCCAATTGGGCCCATGTATGGACTGTGTTGGGCTCAATGAAATGCCCAAACAGTGAGCCAACAGGTGGAACCGTCATGGCACAATCTTCAAGACTATGTCAGGCGGTGGTACCGCCTAGACTCAGTCTCCGAGATTGTCAAGCGATGGTACCATCAGTCTGGGCAGTGGTACCTGTTAGGATCAAGAGCACTAAGAGGAGGGGGTGAATTAGTGCAGCGGAAAACTTTCGACGATTAAAACTGCATTCATACGTTGAAATCCGATTCCGACGTAAAAGTTGTTTCATTCAGATAATAACTTTGAAAGCTTACGGAAACGTATTTGAAGTAAAGTAAGGAAGGCAGTTTGCAGTTAAGATAGAAATCAGAATGTAAGTGCAAACTGAAATATGATGTTCGTACGATAAAACTGATTTCTGTCTTAACGCCGATTCGGAAAATACTTAACTACGAAACACATTCGTAAATGAGCAGAAGGCAGTAAGCTATTGAGGAGGTTTGCAGTAAAGATAAGATGCTCAAAGTAAATGCAAACTAAGATTTAAAGTGGTTCGGTCAATCTTGACCTGCATCCACTTTTGGCTTCCTCCACCAACGAGGTCACCGACGTCCACTAGAGGCCTTCCTTCAATAGGCGAAGGCCAACCACCCTTTTACAGTTTCACTCGTTTTGATGGGCTTAGGAGACAACCCTTACAAACTTTTCTCTCCTCTCTTGAAAGATCAAAACTTGAAAAAAAATGGAGAAGAACTTCTAGCCTTTACAACACTTTTGAGCTCTAAAAATCATAGAGTAAGATTGGATTTTCGGTGCCCTTTCATGTAGGAAAGGGTGGGGTATATATAAGCCCCAAACTAGTTTGAATTTGGAGCTCAAAGATGTGTTTTCCCGGATTTCCGGGGTCCTGGCGGTACCACCTCCTGACTGGGGCGGTACAACTGCTTGGCAGCTCAAAGACTGAGCCTCTAGGCGGTGCCACCGCCTGACAGGGGCGGTTGCACTGCCCAGTCTCGCTCGGAGACTGAGCCCTGGCGGTGCCACCGCCTGGCAGAGCTCGGAGATTGAGCCCTGGCGATGCCACCGCCTGGCAGAGCTCGGAGACCGAGCTCAAGCGGTTCCACTGCTTGTCAGGGGCGGTTGCACCGCCCAGTCTCGCTCGGAGACTGAGCCTAGGCGGTGACACCGCCTGCCTGGGGCGGTTGCACCGCCCAGCTTTCCTGGGAGACCCTCTCTTGGGCGGTGCCTCCGCCGACCCTAGCGGTGCCACCGCCTAGCAAGAATTCTCGTCCGAATGGGTTGATCCATTCGACCCCAATTTGGGTATGTCAAGGGCCCAATTGCCCCCATATTAAGTTAATGGGATCACCTCCCAGTCCAAACTTAATCTACATGCTAACTACGACATTTCTTAAGACATTTACTATAGCTTACTCCAGTGCGTCAATCGCTTCTTTCGGTGAACTTCCGACGAACATCCGACGAACCTTCGGTGATGCTCCAACGGACTTCCTGCAAACTCCTGGACTTGCGACAATCCACTTGGCGAGTTCTGACGAGCTTCTTTTGGCAAGCTCCTGGACTTCTCGGATTTGTTCCCGTAGAACCTCCGACGACCGTCCAGACTTCCGTCGAACTCTCGAACTCCCAACGTGATCATAGTCTTAACTCCGGCGCATCTCCTGCTGTATGTCTTACTTTCATCGTAGTTAATCCTGCACACTTATCTCAACATATGGATTAGATAACAAATGATAATTGACTTCATCATCAAAATCCGAGATTCAACAATCTCCCCCTTTTTGATGATGACAATCAATTGATAACGGAGTTAACCTTAACTCCCCCTATCTATATGTCATACTTGAGACAAGTCATTCTTGAATTCATGGCCTTTGAATTCAATAGACTTATTGATAAGTTAAGAACTCTTAACCTTATCAATTACTCCCATCATGATTCCTATCATGATGTATCTTACTAAAAATGATGTCAAGGCTTGACATCCATTCTCAAGTTTTACATTTCAAATATGAATAATGGTAGCGGTTCAACATAAGATATCAACATGTAAATTTACAATTTAAGCTTTTGATATCTTAATGTAAAGCAAACATTTCAAGTGTTTAGCAATCGTAGCATTTCATCACATGGTAAGATATCAACACGTAAAATTACGATGCAAGTTCTTAATATCTTAACATGATGCAAACATGGCATAATGCAAATATGGCAATCATAGTTATCATCAATTCATATATTTTCGATGATGCAAGCATGACATAATCATAGCATCAATACTCATAGCATCAATTCATATATCTCTCCCCCTTTATCATCAATAAAAAGGAGAACGATATAACAAATTTTAAGCATAAGTGCGGTATTTATTCATGTCATGACTATGTTCATGTCATTTTCCAACAGTGAGTAATAGGATACCAATTATGCAAACATCTCAAGGAAAACATGACATAGTTTGTTATTATCTTTTTGCATGAAGGAGGAAGGCTATTTGTGATACCAGCTATTTGTGAGTTTACTTTGAATGAAGTTAAAATCGATGAGAGATTAAATCATACTCCATTTTTACAAGGATCAAGATATGTATGTGAAACAAATCCTTGCAAGTAAAAACACTAACATCCATATTTCAAGAAGGAATTTACAAGCAAGAATCTTTTTATCAAATCCATTTATCAAAAAAATATTTTTCACATGATAAGTGTATGAGAGATGTTTTTGCTAGTTGATTCCATATGTCAAAAATCAATGATAAGAATCAAACTCGATATAACATATGCTTATTAAGTTCGGAAAAAGATAATGTATCGAGATAATCCGATTGTTAGGATACCACTAGTTAAGAGAATCCGAAAATGAAATTAACACTCTCATGCATTCAGACAAGACTATACTATGGATTTTAAAATACAATCATGAAGACAAAATATGCTCATTATTATGGAAATTTTTGTATCCAAAAAACATAATTTCCAACATGTAATTTTAGGCATGTAATGACAATCAAGTGATTTGATTATTCAATCAATAAAGTCCGAAAAATGATTTTAACAAGTTTATGCATTCGGACACATTAACATTCCTAA